TTTATTGGGCCGGCAGGTGGCGTGGTAGTTAAGGGCACTGGACTCCCACATGACTGACTATAGTTTGAGTCCCAGACCTTATAGCATGCTTTCTCACTTTCCCTCTCTCTGTCCCTCTCTGGTCAAATAAATAAAAGTTAAATAATTATTTAAAAAATAAAAAGATGATATTCATCTTGGAGCCTATAGTTGGCGTGATGGCCAAGGGTGCTGAATTCCTACATGGCTGACCGAAATTTGAGTCCCAGACCTGGCAGCTTGCTTTCTTGCTTTCTCTCTCTCCATCTCTGTTCAAATTAAGATAAACTTAAATAATTCCTTTAAAAAAAAAAAAAAAAAACATTCATCTGCAGGCTGACTGAAATGAGGGCCTTGGAAACACCCACAGAGATCTCCCAGGCTTGGGAGAGATAGGGGTGATTATGATGACTTGGGAGTCATCAGCTGCACATGGCCTTAAAGTGATGGCTGCGAGTGAGACCAGAGGAGTTGTGCGGAGGACAGACACGGACACACATCTAGGATATAGAAAACAGTCACCAGAGCTACGGAAGAGTTTTCCCAACAGAAGGAAGGGTCCCCAGTGACAAACGAGGGTAACCACTAAGATAGCCTTTGGGCTTAACAACTGGACTGCAGAGGCTGAGGAGGACGTGAGGATGGCTCTCTTGAGAAGCTTGACCATGAAATGAGTGGTGGCAGGTAGTCAAAAAGATGAGACAGACCCAGCAGGTGGTAGCGTGGTGGAGGTGCTAGACTCCCACACAGCCAACCTGGTTCAAGTCCCGACCCAGAAGCTTCAAAAATCATACAAGGCGGAAATGGGAGTGGAGGTACGGGCTAAACTGGAGGGGCATGGCCATGGGAAGGGCCCTGTCTAAAGGTCCCTTCTGTCCCCAGACGTGATGGTGTAGTCCAATGAGCGGGTCATGGGTTGGGTATTCTGACTGGGCCTAAAGAAATTCGCCATGAACCTCAACAAAAACCGTGGTGCACGGGGCGCTGCTGGCCCTGGACAAGACCTTCGACTACTCCGACTTAGCCTTGCTTCTGCAGATCCCCACACAGAACGTGCAGACCCGGCAGCTCCTAGAAAGAATTCAGCAACCTCATCTCCTTAGGCACAGACAGATGGCTGGACAAGGTGGGCGCAGCAGCAGGACAGCACCAAGTCGTTCAGTCGCTCTCCATCCTGGCGGAAGATGTTACAAGAGAAGGACCTCCAAGGCGTAACCCCCAACTCAGCTGAGATGTTGCCCTTTAACTTCCATTCAGCTGCAGCAGGAGCCTTGGGCTCACCAGGGCTCCCTCTCCGCAAGTTGCAGTCAGAAGGCCAGACTTCTGGAAGTTCCCGGGCAGACGACGTTTCAGTCCTGACCTACTCCTGCTAGTGTAGGCCTGCAGGACGTTAAGCAAAACCAATCACCTCGAGGACTCAGGAGTCCAGCCCCTCGACCTCTGCCCCCGCGCCATTTATCCCCCAGGCCCGAGTCTAGGACCCCAGTCCAGCCCCCCTTTCCCAATGCCCTGAGAATCCAAATCCCACACTTGACTAAAAACAAAAAAATCACACAAGGCACTTGTGCGTGCGTGCCCAAAATCCCTAGAGGAGAATGGAGAAGGGATTGTGGTGTGGCCATCCCTCCTGCGGGGTGATTTCTCACTTTCCCTCTCTCTGTCTCTCTGGTAAGCACACATGCCCTATGGCAAAAACTTACAAAAAAGAAGAGACTGACGGGCTGAGAAGGGTCAGGCTAAGAGAGGAAAGGAGGCTGAGAGGGAGAAGATGTGGCTCAACAAGGAAGACGCATGGCAGGGCGTAGAGTGAGAGGATCAGCAAGTGGGATCTGAATTTAAGACTTTGTGGAGTTGCTGGGACCAGCAGTTAGCGTAATGGCTATGTCGCTGGACTCCCACATAGTCAACCATGGTTCGCGTCCCAGACCCGGTGGCTTAAAACTCACACCGGGCACGTGTGCGTGCGTCCCCAAGATCCCGAGAGGAGAATGGAGGAGAAGGGATTGCGGTGTGACCATCCCCCCTGGGGGGTGATTTCTCGCTTTCTATCTCTCTGTCTCTCTCTCTCTGGTGCGCGCACGTGCCCTATGGCGAAGACCTCTCAAAAAAAAAAAAAGAAAAAGATTTCGTGGAGTTGCTGTGGGTGGTTAAAGGAGCAGAAGTGATCCCGCAGGGGACTGGATACGGGCCACACCAACTGTAAGGTCATCTTCAATGAAGACACCTGGAGTCTAAAGGAAAGTTAAGGGCCAATTCACTGAATGAGGGACATGCAGTGAGAAGCAAGATTAGAAAATGGTTGACTTGGGGCCGGCAGGTGGCGTGGTGGTTAAAGGCATTGGATTCCCACATGGCTAACCATGGTTCAAGTCCTGGACCTGGTGGTTTGCTTTCTCACTTTCTCTCTCTTTCTCTCACTCTGTCCCTCTCTGGTCAAACTGGAATAAACAAATGAATAAACAAATAAACAAAGTTAAGTAAAAGAATTATTAAAAAATATATATTAAAGAAAATGGTTGACTCAGTACATGCCTCAAAGAACTGATCTTGGGACCAGACCGCAGCCTGGTGGTTAACGCGGCTGGCTTCCCCAGGGCTAAACTTGTGGTCCAAGCTCCAGACACAGCAACTTGAGAAACATACCAGACTTGTGTGCGCATACCCCAAATCCTGAAAGGACCAAGAGATGAAGAGGGAAAAAAAAAAAAGAGAGAGAGAGAGAGAGAACCAGCAGTTAGCATAATGGCTATGTCACTGGACTCCCACGTAGTGGACTGCGGTTCACGTCCTGGACCCGGTGGCTTAAAACTCATGCCGGGCGCGTGTGCGTGCGTGCTCAAGATCCCGAGAGGAGAATGGAGGAGAAGGGATTGCGGCGTGACCATCCCCCGGGGGGTGATTTCTCGCTTTCTGTCTCTGTCTCTCTCTGTCTTTCTGGTGAGCGTTCGCACCCTATAGCGAAAACCTCTCCAAAAAAAAAAAAAAGAAAGAGATGAAGAGGGGTTGTGCTGTGACCACTCCCCCATGGGGGATGCGTTGTGCTTTCTTGCTCACTGTCCAGTGAGCACCCACACCCTCTGACATTTTTTTTAAAGAGGTTTTTGCCTGAGGGCGTGCGTGCTCACCAGAGGCAGACAGAGAAGCGTGAGAGGGAAAGTGAGAACTCACCCCCAGAGGGGAATGGCCAGGTCACAATCCCTTCTCCTCCCAGGATTTCGGGCAGGCACGCACATACATGTGCCCGGAGTGATTTTGAAGCCACTGGATGAAGCCACCAGGTCTGGAACTCAAACCATGGTCCGCCATGTGGGGGTCCAGAGACTTAACCACTATGTCATCTGCTGTCCCCCCTCTGGAAATTTTTTTTTTAATGACTTTTTCCAAATGTGGGGAAACTAAGGCCTTAGAAGCAGCAACTTGCCGTGTCATCCAACAAGGGAAACAGCCTGAACTCTAGCCTGGACAGCCTGGCTGGGTGACTGGCCCTCGTGCACCTGGACCTGCACCTCCTTCCCCTCTGGGCAACTCCCTATCAACTCTCTGTGCGCCAGTGGGGGACCCTTAACTGTGAGTTCTGTGACTGATAAATTTCATAAGATGGTGCTGTCACCCTCCTCCATTTTCAGGGGGAAAAGGCGATTTTCTGTGTTGGTTAGGAACCCGAAAAGCTCTGGCGATTATGAGTTACATCTTGCTCTGTCCGGGTGTGCTGGATAAATGTGCTCGGGTGGAAGCAGCATGAACTGACACGGGAAACTTTCTAAAGGGTGAGCAGTCAGCTTCCCGCATTCAAATACACTCAGCAAACAACTGACTTCCTTGCTGAACACTTTCATCTCGGATGTAACTACCATTGTCCACCGTGTTTTCTTCCTGTTCGCTTTGATCAAGAGCTTGAGGTTTGAAGATCACAGTGTAATTGCTTTTTTTGAGGACTTTGCCTCCCAAATTCAAATGGTTCCTTACCTATAGCCATCTACAGGGAGTAGGGTAGTGGCAGTAAACAGACCCTGGGATTTTTCTTTTTCTTTTTTCAGTTTCCTATAGGGAGAGGTGCTCACAAGGAAAGAGAAAAAATGAGAAAGAATGCCCATGCACCCCCCCAACACACACACAGGGATGGCCACATACATCCCCCTCCTCCTCTGGGAATTCTGGCCACATGCACACAAGAGTCCAGTGAGTCCTTCTATCTCTTTCTTCTTTCTTTCTTTTTTTTTTTTTTTTGGAGAGGTTTGTGCTATAGGGCATGCGCGCTCGCCAAAAAGAGACAGCAAGAAATCACCCCTCTGGGGGGATGGCCCTGCCACAATCCCCCTCCTCCATTCTCCTCTCAGGATCTTGGGCACGCACACACATGCGCCCGGTGTGAGTTTAAGCCCCTGGGTCTGGGACTCGAACTGCAGTTGATTACATGGGAGTCCAGTGACATAGCCATTAAGCCAACTGTTTGCCCCACGTCTTTCTTCCTTTTTTTTTTTTTTTTTTTTTTTTTAAGGTTTTTCCTATAGGTCACGTGTGCTCCCCAAAGAGATAGAGACACACAGAGAGAGAGGCAGAAAGGAGAAATCATCCCCCAGGAGGACAGCCACGTGGCAATTCCTTCTCCATTCTCTCCGGATTTGGGGCGCCCTCGCACACACATGCCTGGTGTGAGTTTCAAGCCTCCAGTCTGGGACTCAAACCGCGGTTGGTGGGCCATGTGGGAGTCCAACAGCATAACCATTATGCCATTTCCTGGTCCAAACCTGGTGAGTTTCTCAAGCTGCCTGGTCTGGGACTCAAACGCATCAGTCATGTGGGACCCACCATCTAAACCACACCACCACCAGCTGGCTAGGGGTGGGTTCTTAGAGCTGTTAGAGCCAAACTGCCTGTTAGGTCGTAACCAAGAAGGGAGGAAACTGGCCGGTGTGGTCTGTTTTTAATTGTCCTTCTGAATTAAAAGATGCCCAGGTCTTTGCCGTGGTCTCTAAAAAGCGAAAGGGTAGACAGACACAGTCTGGCATCTGTAACATGACTTCCAACGATCAGAAAACTTGGACTGGCCGACGCGAGTTCCGTTTGTCTTTCGTTTGGAGAAGTGTGTCACGGTCCGCGCCGCTGTGACAGATGGAAAAATCCTATGTAGGGCACGCAGCAGCCTACCAGGCGCGCAGGAAGGACTCCGAGGGGCCGGCTGGCACCGACGGGCTGCCAGCAACCCATCTCGCCTCTCGGTGAACTGCTCATGTGCACTTCCTGAAAAGAAAGTTCCTGTTTGAATCTCTCGCTCGTAAAACCGCAGAGTTCACCATTTAGGGCGAGAGGTTCCCCGCACTGGCGAGGAAGCGGCGGGGCGCGAGAACCCTAGGGTTATCTGCGAACCCCCTCCCCGGTCCCCCGGCCCGCGCCGCGCCGCACCGAGGGGGGTCTCGCGGGGCCTGAGCTGGCGCTGCAGACTGGGCGGCGGCGGAGCGGCTTTGTGCACGCTCTGCTGGGGCCACCCGACCCAGTGGACAAGCTCGGGCGTGGCCAGATGGAGCCGCCCTTCCACCGCTCTCCCCGACGGTCCCCTGTTTCCACCCCCGGCCCTCGACGCGGCCCGCCAGGCAGGGCATCCTCTAGGGCTCGCCCTACGAAGCCGGGACTCCCTTCTGCGCTCAGACCCCACACCTCGGGCCGAGCAGGGACGAGCCGCCTGCCTCTGCGGGTCAGACGCAGAGGGAGGAAAGCCCCGCTCGTGGCTCGGTCGCCGCGCCCAGGGAGGGGGCGTGGGAGGCTTCGCCCGCACTCCCGGCGCCCCGGGGCTCGGGTGTGGGCAGATAGATGCTCGCTGCTCGCAGGCTTTCCGCCGCCCCCGCCCCCCACCTGCGCGCA